TCTTTATTATCACTAGAGGGATCCCCAGCAGGAGGAAGGAGGTTCTGATTCCTCTATATAGATCTTTATTATCACTAGAAGGGTCCCCAGCAGGAGGAAGGAGGTCCTGATCCCTCTATATATATCTTTATTATCACTAGAGGGATCCCCAGCAGGAGGAAGGAGGTCCTGATCCCTCTATATAGATCTTTAGTTATCACTAGAGGGGTCCCCAGCAGGAGGAAGGAGGTCCTGATCCCTCTATATAGATCTTTAGGTATCATAGTTCTGTACTCCCATTGATGTCATTGTTCAGTGCTGATGGCAGTCTCGGGGGTGCTGTATGGTCTCCTCTCCTGGTTCTTGTGCCATGACACGTCATCAGATTGGTGCCTGCAAGAAACTGGAAGAGACAGCTGACCCCTAATAAGATGGGGCGCAGGACCCGATGTGTGGTGGTGGATCTGTGGATTGTAGTAGGACAGCCTTGGATTCGTTGGACGTGTGAACGTGTCATTTGAGGATGACCCAGTGAACAACTCAACTTTATTGGCATCACTTTCCATGCAATGTACAAGCAGAGTCGGGTCCCAGTGTCAGTACGCATTGAGATCACCGTTGTCTGCATTGTGAAGTTTGTCTGAGAGGTCAGGAAATACAGAGGTCAGGAAACCGGGTGACACACCCCATAGTGTATTTACACTGACTGTCTTCCTGCTGAGAGGAGGTCAGAGTCCTCTGGGAGGCCCGTGACCACAGTATGTGGCTCGCGCCGCCTTCGCGCTCAGTACTGCGGTTCGTGCCGGAGGTGGAGAAGGGATCGCTTTTTGTTGTTTTTGGCACGGGAGCTTCGGTATGAGTTTTGGGGAAGCCATAGATAAGTGTAGGAGCGATTTTGTATCCCACGTCTCTATATAGTACTAGAACTTATAATGATGCCACGCATAACACAATGTGGGATTATGTGTGTGTGTGTGTGTGTGTGTGTGTGTGTGTTGCGGGTTGGAAGGACCCCCATTGATGGATCATGTAGACCTTTTCCCAGCATGCTTGTGGTAGCGGCTGGGGAGTTCTGTGTGAAGCAAAACAATTTTTGTTCTGCTCTTAAATTTAACCCATTTTGCAAAATACGTGGACGTGTCTCCACTGTGAATGAACCGTCGTTTTATACCCCGAAATAATTGTGGTCAGTGGGAAGAATGCTCCTTACATTGGTGGTCAGTGGGGAGAATGCTCCTTACATTGGTGGTCAGTGGGGAGAATGCTCCTTACATTGGTGGTCAGTGGGGAGAATGCTCCTTACATTGGGGGTCAGTGGGAAGAATGCTCCTTACATTGGGGGTCAGTGGGAAGAATGCTCCTTACATTGGGGGTCAGTGGGAAGAATGCTCCTTACATTGGGGGTCAGTGGGAAGACTGATCCTTACATTGGGGGTCAGTGGGAAGAATGCTCCTTACATTGGGGGGTCAATGGGAGGAATGGCTTTTGGGGGTGGATGGAGGAATCTCCTGCTGTGGCTGTTGTATTCGGCTCCGCCGGCTGTGAAAACACCTGAACAGTGTCTGCATCTGATTGGTCTCAGGCCCTGTTTGGCCAACAATTTTCCACCCAAATCGTTTTTCCAGCCGCAGGGTGTCGGAATGGAACTGGTGAATTGGGCCACTCTATATCGTGGATTGGGGGTGGGGGTGGGGGGGGGGCTCCCCCTGCCGGGTTATTGTATTTTGACATTAGTAGGTGTGATGCTTGTAGAATACCCGGACTGTGCCTGTAGCTGATTGGTTGGAGTCGCGGTTTGGCTGAGATTGACATCCCAGGACTGGCAGAGCACTAGTTGGCTTTGTGTGTACAAATGCGTCTCACTTTGGCAGTTAGCTCCGCCCCCGCATTGCGCTGTGACATAGGCTATTGACCACGTGACCACGGTAAGTAGGATACTTCTAGTTACCATTTCTGGACCACGATTATAAAGCTATCGCGCACGATCAATAAGTCCGCGTCTCGGCAGTTCTGCACATGATGAGGGTTATGCTAATTCAGGTTGTGTTAGTTCGGAAGTCCTATGAATCATCATTCCTCCTCCAGCCGGCCACATACCCCCGACATGTCCCAGCATTCCCCCGGCACACCTGCAGCACGGCTTGCGTTATGCAGATACGTGACGTAACTTTTATTGCCGTGCTGTGCATGTGAAAGGATTTAGAGCCACACATGCCGTATTACGTGTAACGTTCAGCAGACCGGACAGAACCGGACGCAGCTTTGCACCGCGCACGCCGCGTCCTCTCCCCTCCTGGTGAAGGTCATCGACGATTCTTGCATCCCCCTCAAGTTCATGGAAGGGAACTCGCACCGGGCTCGGACTGACTCTTCTACATGGTGACCGTCAACTGCACGTGAGATGTTTTGTTGTTTTGTAGCACGAGGGTAACCTCTAGGTGAAGGACGTCTTGTTTAAAAGCTCCGGGCAGTCAAAGACGTGAGGGGACGGCTGTCGGAGATGTGGACTAGACGGAAGTACGCACAACTCCAGGCTACGTAGGAGAAAGTTTACCATATGGAATTTTTGTCCTGAAGGATATGTTTCCTGCAGTATCACAATAAAGGGTCAGATGAAGTCCCAGGGACGAAACGCATGGAGCGGACGAGGACGCAGTGACGTCGTTGCTCACGCCAGTGTCCAAGGAATGTGGCAGTAGTATCAGTAGATGGTGTACTTAGTACTGATACGCGCCGGCTGTTGTGAGCGCTATTGTTACCTTTTCAGTGTTTTACATAAAAATGATTGTCACGCTTTTATCGGTTTTTGGCCAAAAGGAGCTTGGGATCGTTTTTGGATCTTTTGTAAATTAATCTGGAATCGTCTTTTGGATTTTTGACATAGGCGTGTTTGGCTGTCACTCGCCTACCTACCTGTTGTCCAAATTGATGATTACCAGGAGTCTCGTCTACGTATGTGGATGTGACCTCTAAATGAGAGGCCAGAGATTTGGTGAGTTCTCATCCCATCATTGGTGGAGGATAGGAGATTGGGTAGTTTTTCTTCCCATTATTGGTGGAGGATCAGAGATTGGGTAGTTTTTCTTCCCATTATTGGTGGAGGATCAGAGATTGGGTAATTTTTCTTCCCATTATTGGTGGAGGATCAGAGATTGGGTGTGTTCTCATCCCCATATTGGTGGAGGATCAGAGATTGTGTGAGTTTCACCCCGTAATTGGTGAAGGATCAGAGATTGGGTGTGTTCTCATCCCATTAGTGGTGGAGGATCAGAGATTGTGTGAGTTCCCATCCCTTTATTGGTGGAGGATCAGAGATTGGTTGGATTGAGTTCTCATCCCATTATTGGTGGTGGACCAGAGATTGGTTGGATTGAGTTCTCATCTGGACCAGAGATTGGTTGGATTGAGTTCTCATCCCATCATTGGTGGCGGACCAGAGATTGGTTGGATTGAGTTCTCATCTCATTATTGGTGGAGGACCAGAGATTGGTTGGATTGAGTTCTCATATCATCATTGGTGGTGGACCAGAGATTGGTTGGATTGAGTTCTCATCCCATCATTGGTGGCGGACCAGAGATTGGTTGGATTGAGTTCTCATCTCATCATTGGTGGCGGATCAGAGATTGGTTGGATTGAGTTCTTATCCCAATAAGGTCAATGTATGGACAGAAAACTCTGTGATTTGATGTACGCCCAGAAACGCCGGCACCCTATGCCCATGTACATGCCGGTGTTTTTGGTTTTATATCGACGTCTCTCAAGCATTCGCCAAGCTGGCTTTTTTTTTTTTTCTGCCCGTCACGTAATCGCCTGTGAATTGTCCTTAGGAAGCGGTTTTTGGCACTGCCGTATGCTCCCCGGTGTATCTATGGAAAGCCTTTGCAGGTTCTTGCTGCAGCCAGCAATGTGTCCGGGTGATTGATATGGAAGGACATTGTAGTGAAGTGGATGTGCGTCCCCAGAGGATTTATTTCTTCAAAAAAATACAAGAAAAGCAACAAAAAAAAGATGTAAATAAAACAAAATATAGGAAATTAAATAATCTGAACTGAAATAATTATAAATAAATAATAAAATAATAGTCAGTTCTTCTGTTGCAGGTCAGTCGCCGTTTTGCGTCTTGAAACGTAT